GAGAAGGCTCACAATGACATGTATTTTCAAAATCATAATGTAAAGCTTGCAGCATTCACTGTGCTGACCTCAGAGCATATGTGATCTGCTTTCCTCAGGAGAGCGACAGGACTTAACTGGCCCAAATACCATTTTCAAGCATATCAGCCCTTTGTTAGCTGATTTGGAACAAGACTCTTGGCCTTTTGTTCGTACCATCCCGGGGGGCTTTGCCTTCACCAGACAGAGGAGTCGAGAACTGATCTTTCTTTCTTGCAACGTTTTATTCAGTGAAGTCAGAAGTTAAGCTGGATACTAACTATCCTAAGGAGAACTGGTTACCGCAAAGTGCAAGCATCCTGCACCAGGGTTTCTTGGGGAAGTGGCCGCTCTAGCTCCATCTCTCCACTGGCACACGCCAGAAGGGCCATCTGGTGCTGCTGTGTAGCGAAGGTTTCCAGTTCCACGAATGGCGTGTATCCATCTGGGTAACAATCCGTGCCTTATGCTGACGGGAAAGTATTCCAGTCCCCCAACACAGGCAGACTGTTACTGCGTTCTTTTTTTCCCTTTATTTACAACTAGTGAATTTATTGGGATGAAGACAAAAAAACCCCACACTTGATAGAATTCCCTTTAAAAAAAATTTAAACGGAAAAATGCTAACAATCCCTTTTTTAAAAGAAATCCGAAATAAAAATTAACTTGATAAAACTAACCCTATTTTTGAAAGATACGATCATTTAAATAAAGCATGTGCATTTTCTCGTTTATTTTCAACCCCTTCCCCCCAACTTAATGGAGTTAAGGACCCAACCAATGCTGGCTAATTTGGTTCACCGTTTGCAGCCAAAGGGAGTTGCAGGAAGTAGCAACCTGGCCCACGCTGCTTCTCGCGGCTCCCCCTTTGGCTGCAAATGGCGAACCGGAGCCAATGGGAGCTGTAAGGCTCCATGGCTGCAGAGCTGGTCAGTAAACAAACCAGAGCGGCCAGGGAGCAGGTTTCTGAGAGCGGGTCCGCGGACCACTTTGCGAAACTGCTTTAAGTTATGGCAAGAGGAAGCTGCATGCCAGATGGGGTGATCCTAGCTCGTACCGTTTAGAAAAAGTTCTTGATCGGACAAACTTTTCAAATATACTAGTATGTATTAAGAATTTATTACAAACGGGCAAAACATTCCCTTTTTCAAAAGAGACTTAGGAGCCAAATCCTCAGTGAAAGGCAATGGGACTGAGGCTCCTAATCCGAAAATGGGACCAGGCTCCTAAGCCACATAAACACTGACGAAAACTTGACCTGACGTCCTTTGATTGGTGCCCAACCCTGCAAGTGCCGAGTTCCCTCTGCTCTCAGGATCTGCCCTTCTGTTGCTAGCTACCTGATTTGTCAACACAAGCTGCTAGCTCCCTGGCAAGGTGCTGTCAAATGGGCTTGCAAAATTGAGCTCTTTATTGGATACACAGGCAAAGGCCAAGCTGAGGCCTTTGGAAAACCAGAGCCTGAGTCTCTTCTACTGCTGTCCTCCCTCTGAGCCCCCGAGGAGTCCGACTGAATTTTACCTTGGATATGCTGACTGGACTGTGCACCTAATTCTGGTTTCTCTTCTCATGCTAGAAATCCTTAAAGGAAATGTTTCCCATTGAATCTGGGGACATCAACACTGAGAACAGGATCATCCCTCACTTACCAGGTAAGCAAATGTATGAAGCCGCCAGACTTTCAAAGCAGGAGGCTGTAAGGAAAAGGGATGGCCGCCCTTCTGTAATTTGTACTGTGGCTGCAAACACACAGACACCAGGGTCTTCAGTGGGGGGTGGAACGTGAGACCCTCCAGAGTACAGAGAAATTCCATTCGGTGTGAGTAGCAGACTGCTCTAGTAACTGGAGCACTTGACTAGAGGGAGACGTGACCAAATGGACACCCACCCGCCAACCCACCCACCACAGATTGCTTGGTCTACTCCTGCTTATTGTGTACTTCCTCACAATCAGTAACCGCCTAGAACTCACCTTCTAGCCGATGCAGGGAAAGCGACTTAACTGCCCCATTCCTGTACACCCGTTTTCAGCCCCGGACAACCTCTCTCTTTCAATTTAACCATCCAATGAGAGACTGTGGTAAAGACACGTCAGCCAGAGCACCATTCCCGGCAGGCAGAAAGCTTCGCCGCTCCCATGGCTACGTGTTCATGCAGTGAAGGGGCTGGAAACCTGGGTTCCATTCCCATTCTTCAGCCAGCCACGGTGCTGCAATGTGCCTCAGTTTCCCCATCTCCCTCACTGAGTGCGTCTGAGGAAATGAATGCAGAGAAATTGCCTTTAATAAGACTCTGGTGGGGTTTAGGATTTAGAGCTCAGACAAGCTGGCACTTAAATCAAGAGGTTTAATGGGAGCTGGGTTTGGCACTTGAGCCTATCCCTGATTTGAGTAACCTTTGAGTAAATGCAAACCCACTGACTGCTGTTGGTTGGGGAATGTCCCCAGAGTCCCCTCTGTGCCGTCCCCCAATCTCGGGGAATTTACAGTAGCAGTTTCTCACAGATTATTTTACTTTCCCGACACTGGTTACTGCAATCGCTGTGGTGGACGGGCTCAGATTCTCTGTCAGCATTTGTTGCTCTATTTTTAATGAAGAAATCTCCCAGAGATGAGGAAGTCCCCACAGCTGGCCAGTTGGCTTTAGCAGTGAAAGGTGCTGACTGTAGAAGGGATGGCAAAGTGGCCTGTTCCTCTGTCTCCTTGCCTGGCACATGGAAATCCATTGCAAAGGTGCCACTGTGGTCAGGCTGCAGCTGCTGTGTTGTGGTGCAGCTGCGAGGCCCTAGAACTGACATCCGTCAGTTTGAGGAAGTTGTCACGTCCACCGGCATGGCCCAGGGAGCTCGGGGGGGGAGGGGGGGAACATGGGGCTTGCCGAAACGCCGAATGAAACCCATCCAGCCCGTGCCAAGGCACACGAGCAGGAAAAATGCTTTGTTCCACTTTTCTTAAAAATAAAACCACTCAGGAAACAGACCAAAATCTTTATAAATGGAGCCACGGCTGTTTACCTCAGCTGATGCGTTGGCCCATTGTCTTCCATGTCCCCGGTAGGTGTGTGAAATACACAGCAGGAAACTATACTCGATTATACACTTCAAAGGACTCACTGGAGAGTGATTGTCACCACAGGCTTTAAAGTCCCTCAGGTCGTCCAAGACACCCCATGAATATTGCCCTGTCCCAGACAGCCAGAGGTGTGTTGCCTGTGCGAGGGTTGGCATGAAGTTACTGGAAGAGCTGGGAACAGTAGGAGCGGTTGGGTGCTAAGCACGTCTGCAAACCTGACCCTGCCGTCATTTAGCTGAGCTCGCTGGAAGTGTGGAAGGAAACACAGTCCTTGGCTAGGGGTTAATACGTGTTTGTAAGCAGCGACACTACACAACTGACATTTTTTTGGCTTCCATTTACACACAGGCACCTTTGAAAGGCCTCTGTATCAAGGTCGGCATTCGCCCGCCCGGAAAGAAAGAATTCAAATGCAAATGACGCCCTTCTGTAACTGGGCTGAGATTCGGTACCCTGCCTGCTACCTGAGCACACCCGCAGTGTATTTATAGTGTTCATTTGCCTACATGCACATGGGTGTGTTTCAGAAAGAACACGCAGTCACATCGATTTGAGGAAATGAAAGAATTCCCCTTAATGGGTGAAGTCAGTGGTTGCACTGAATTGTAACTCAGCGTTTCTCAACCTTTTTATAAAATGTACCCCTTTTAAAAATATTATAAGTATCCCCAGTACCTACAGTTTTCAGACACACAACATTTTTTTCTACCATTGCAACACCTTTGTTTAAACAACGTAATCGTAGCCAGGCGGGCGAAGAAATTTTTGGGTGTAAAAAGTACAAAAATAATAAAGCGCTGTAAAACTTAAAACAAAAATTCAGTTTTCTCCAAATTTCAGTTGTGTTGACGTACCCCCCAGACTTCTCTCGAATACCCCTAAGGGTACTCGCACCACAGGTTGAGAAACACTGGTGTAACTTATGCACGCACCTTCTTCCGAGTGACCAAGGCAATACGCTAGTCATTTCAATTATCTAATGCGAACATGCTGGGGGAGGTGACACAGTAAAAGATGCAGTAAGATTCATTGTCTTATCTGATTGTCGCAGTTTATTCTCCCTTCAGCATCTGCCAGGAACGTAGCCCAACCTCATATCGCCTGCCCTGCCCTTAAAATCTCCTGGACTTTCCCCATCTGTGTGAACAATCGGTAAACAACAGAAAAGTTAACAACAAATTATCAACTCAGGTTGATTTTCTAACCTCACCTAGCCACTCCTTGTCACTGATTTGAGGAGGTTTTTTTTCCCTCCCCAGATGATTACGTTGAATTATTAAATCCCAAAGCTGAAGGCTTCTGTTCAGTAGGTGTAAGGCATCTCTTAACAGGGACACATGGCAATTCAACGCAGAGTGAAATCGAGAGGAAGGATGGCTGTAGTTCGGCTTCTAGCTAGGATTTGGGGCATCCAGGTTTGCTTCCTCTCTCTGCTGCAGACTTTCTGTGTGAGCTTTGAGTTACTCTAGGCTGGGAAGGTGCATTGGTATAGGTGCATGTCTCGGGGGAGGAAGGGGGTGAAAAATCCATGCACCTAGAGGTAGTTGTATTGACCAGTGCATATACTGCCACTGGAAGAATTTTTATATTGATCTAGCTACCGCCTCTTGGGAGATGGATTCCCTATGCCGATGGGAGAGCCCCTTCCATCAGAGTCAGTAATGTCTAGCCTGCAGCTGTGCTGCTGTAGCCTTTTAAGGGTGGACCTACGCTTAGCCTCTCTGTGTCTCAGAGCCCCGCCTGTCAAATGGTGGTAATGGCACAGTCTTGCTGCCCAGGGAAGTTGTTTGGTGGGATGCTCCAGTGGTTAGGTTGAGAACCACTGTCCTTTCCGGGCGACTGTACCCCTTTCAGGAGTCAGATTTGGCTTCCATACCCTCCTTGCTTCACAAAGTCAGACATAAAAAGATCAAAGTCTCCCAGCGCACTGTTGCCGAAAACTTGGCGACTTTCTTGGTTTTACCCTTGAATAATAAGTAAGTCAATTGAAATATAAATGATTGTACTTGCATTTCAGCATATAGAGCAGTATAAACAAGTCACTGTGTGACATTTTACTTTGTGCTGACTTCACTCTTGCTTTTCATGTAGCCTTGGTAGAGGAGTTGATGTGCCACCCAGAAGAGCCCTGCATTCCTCCAGGGGGGGAAACACATCCCTGGTTGAAAACCACTGGGTTAGGGCACTTGCCTACAGCATGGGCGACCTAGATTCAAGTCTGTTTTGCTGCAGTCTTCCCCGGTGACTTTGGGCAGGTTATTTGGGGGCAGGTCTACACTTAAAACATGCAGTCGGCACTGCTGCCTCTGCACCCGTGTAGTGCTTCAGTCAAGATGGAGCACTGTTCTCCTTGGCCTCTGAAGATAGGACAAGAAGCAATGGGCTTCAACTGCAGCAAGGGAGATTTAGGTTGGGCATTAGGAAAAACGTCCTAACCGTTAGGCTGTGTCTAGACTGGCAAGTTTTTCCGGAAAATCAGCCGCTTTTCCGGAAAAACTTGCCAGCTGTCTACACTGGCCGCTTGAATTTCCACAAAAGCACTGATGATCTCATGTAAGATCGTCAGTGATTTTCCGGAAATACTATGCTGCTCCTGTTTGGGCAAGTCTTTTTCCGAAAGACTTTTGCGCAAAAGGGCCAGTGTAGACAGCTCAGATTTGTTTTCCACAAAAAAGCCCCGATCGCGAAAATGGCGATCGGGGCTTTTTTGCGGAAAACCGTGTCTAGATTGGCCACGGACGCTTTTCCACAAAAAGTGCGTTTCCGGAAAAGCATCCTGCCAATCTAGACGTGCTTTTCCGAAAATGCTTTTAACGGAAAACTTTTCTGTTAAAAGCATTTCCGGAAAATCATGCCAATCTAGACGTAGCCTCAGAGTGGTTAAACACTGGAATAAATTGCCTGGGGAGGTTGTGGAATCTCCATCACTGGAGATATTTAAGAGCAGGTGGGACAGACACCTGTCAAGGATGGTCTAGATGGTGCTGGGTCCTGCCGTGAGGGCCGGGGACTGGACTCGACCTCTTGAGGGCCCTTCCAGATCTAGCGTTCTAGGTTTCTATGCTCCACCCACTGACGTGGTTACTGCGCCAGCCCCAGGGGCCGCAGCGGTGCGGACAGAAGTAGCTCCCCCATTGACGTTGCGCTGCTCACGGAGGGGTGAAGGGTGGTGGAACTGTGCCACTCCGGTGGTGTTGGGTATTATTCCTCCTCCGGGGCCAGGGCTCCCGATAGAAGCTTGGGAAGCTGCAGCCTGCGTTCTGATAGGAGCGAGGGGCGCGCTCTGCCTCACCGAAGCAGGACCAGTTAGGACAAAGGCCGACAGCGCTGGCCGAAGGGTTGGCCCAGAAGAAGCTGAGGGGGCGTAATCTGGTGATGGCTGTGGGGATTGCGTTACGGCGCCACGGCGCTAATACGGGGGCTTTCTCTAGCGCTTGGTGATGCTCCCCGTCAGCTCGGAGTAGCCACGTCTCCCCCAAGCTGCTCTGTCTACCTTCACTGCGGAGCTCCTGCTGAGACCCAGGGTGTGCGCCGGGTTGCGCTGCGCGTCGGCTGCTGCCTTGACAAAATGAGGAACTCTGTGCTCTGAGTGCAGAGCTTCCTTAAAACACAGGACCTGGTTACAACAGCCAGTTCTCCCAGAGCACTGTTAGGCTGCAGCTCCGCTGACCGCACCCATTTGGTGCCCGTGTAACCACCACCGGGGGGATTTGAACCTGGGACCTCCGAAGCTGAGTAGAGGAGCCTCTACCAGCTGAGCTAAAAGCCAGCTGGCTCCCAGCCTATGCTGGGGAGGTCTCTTGGTTTTAGCTGTTGCTGTGGTCTAGGTGCCACTGCATGGACCAGTGAACCACACTAGATGTGAGGGTTACACCCACGGTAACCTTCCCTTTGAGAGACACGCAAATGCTTTACCTGTGGCAGGAGCAAGGAGCCGTCTGCAGAAGTCATGTGACGAAGTGGGACTCTGGGGGATTTTATTCCCCTGGTTATGTGGCATGTGAGTTCCGCTGTCTTGTAGTAACCCCGGGCGTGTGCCTCAGTTTCCCGGGGCACTGCACCAATACCTAGATGGTGATGGGAATTTTGGGTGTGATAGGCTCTTGCACATTGACGCCCTTTGTAATCTGAGCTCGGAAGAGGTTGTGATCAGGTTACACCTTTTGCTCGGGAAGTAGGACAAAGGTGGGAGGAGGTGCCTGGCGGGGGGCTGGCACCGAGTTGCTGGAAGTTGGCCTGGGGTGCAGAACAAGAGACAGGCCTGTCTTTGGGTCTCCCTCTTCCCAAGATGGAATGTCCTGGCTGCTTCTGGTTACTGAAGGCTGGTCTACGCTGTGTCCCTGTGGACTCACAAGCCTTCTCTTCTCTCTGCCGGCTGAGCATCACACCTGACTGCGGATGGGGTGCAGGGCCCCGGGATGTCCCCACACTCGCGTGACAAGTCACTCTTTGGGGTTCTGCTCAGCAGGTCGCTGTGTGGTATCGAGGTGCAGAGGCTCTGCATAGGGGTGACCGCATGGGCAGTGCTACCCAATGTGCTCGTCACAAAAATTGAGTCTCTCTGGTTTTGCTCTTCTCTAGCACCCAAATGGTTTGATGGCCACAGGTCCACCCAGAACAGGCAAGGCACGCTGACTGAATACTGCTACACCTTGGTGAATCTGCCGCACAAGATTTCCCGATGCACACATGTTCTGAACTTCTTCAAAGTCAGGCCTGACGACTTGAACCCGCCCACTGACAGCCAGTGAGTACAATCGCGTCCGCAGGAACGCAGAGCGTCTGAACCATTTAAACATCTAGTCTAGGTATTTTGCAACTGGGTCTGCTCGAGTTCAAGCAGGAATTAAGGCAGGGAAACCCGGCAGCCTGTGTCAAGCAGTGGATCAGACTAGACGTTCACAATGGTCTCTTCTGGCTTCACAATCTGTGACTCTAACACAAACTGACATTCCATTTGTAATATACACACTTCTACGCGACTTTCTTGTGTTTGTCTCTACCCAGGTCAGGAGGAGAAAGCTTGTCCACTCAGTTCTGTACAGCTGAGCTTAGTAACATGATCAGATTTCTTCCATTGATATAACACAAGACTAACATGCTAGAGCAGTGGTTCCCAAACTTTTCAGCATTACGCCCCCTTTTTGATTTTTGAGGAACCCTCAGCCCCCCCCCAAAAAAAAAATTGAAGCAAAACTTGTTGAACAAAAGCAAAAAAAAAAGGAACTGACCACTGACCAGAGCAGCAAAATTTGATGGGGGGCGGTGGGGTTGGGTCACCTTCTGCCTCCGCTGGAATTTCTTCATGCCCCCCCCCAGTTTGGGAACCCATGTGCTAGAGGGTATAAATAATATGATCTATTAACCCAAGCACTAATACCAGCTGTCATTTCCATTCTGAGCCTCTGTTCTTAGTTCTGAAAATTCGACCCATCAGGCTGAAGTATTTCAGGCTGGACCTCTGCCTGAGATTATTTTCGTTGTTGTATTGCGCAGAATTGGGGTGCTGTTCCTTTAAATAGTTGAATGAACCCTGGGATGGTCTGCGCCACCTTTTAAGGGTACGTCTCTACTGCGGAGATAATGCTCAAGACAGGCAGGATGTAACATCACACTTAGGGAAGCCCATATGCCCTGTCAGAAGCCAGGAGGGGAAACCAGATGGATCTTTCCAAATGGCCTTGTTCTGATGGCTTTGGTACCGGCCACTGTCCGAGACCAGGTGCTGGGCTTGATGGCCCATTGGCCTGAGCCAGTATGTTTTTTGTATGGAGGGAAGGGAACCCTGTTGCTGGGAAGAGAGAGAACATAAGAACGGCCCTACTGGATCAGACCAAAGGTCCATCTAGCCCAGTATCCTGCCTGCCGACAGTGGCCAGTAACAGATGCCCCAGAGGGAGTCCCCTGTCACCCACCTCCAGAGAAACAGAGGCTAGGGACACCATTCCTACCCATCCTGGCTAATAGCCATTGATGGACCTAACCTCCATGAATCTATCTAGCTCTTTTTTGAACCCTGTTACAGTTCTAGCCTTCATCACATCCTCTGGCAAGGAGTTCCACAGGTTGACTATGTGCTGAGTGAAGAAAAACTTCCTTTTGTTTGTTTGAAACCTGCTGCCTATTAATTTCACTTGATGACCCCTAGTTCTTATATTGTGGGAAGAAGTAAATAACTTTTCCTTATTCACTTTTTCCACACCAGTCATGATTTTATAGACCTCTATCATACCCCCCCTTAGTCTCCTCTTTGCTAAACTGAAAAGTCCGTCTCTTTAATCTCTCTTCATATGGGATCCATTCCAAACAAAGAGCAGCATTCCCTGGCATTCAACTGAGTTCACTCTTCTTTTTCTAGCATCAAGAAGCCGGAGACATATTTGGTGCCAAAGGACTCCAAGAAAAATGCTGCAGGTAAGAAGAAGCTCTGGAGATTCAGACACTGATAAGCAAGAGACCTAGCCACTGAGAACACCTGGTTCTGCCAGCCTTGCAGGAAACTATTGACCAAGTGAGAATAATCTGTAGGGTGGGAGAGTGTTCAGCACAATTCACCGGCTTGCAGGAGAGTCCTGACCCCTGGGACTGTAGGGCTGGCCCCACTGCAAGGCACAGCTCCTGAGCCATGGGTAGCAGAGCACCAGAAGACATCTCAGAGGAAGCGGCCTGAGGGTGGATGCAGTGAATTGAGAAACTGCTCCTGGCCTGGAATATGGAGGGCCCCGGGTCAACCTGAAGGGCCTGGTTTGGTGTCAAGGAGGCCTTCCAGCCATGCTCTTCCTGAACAGCTCTGGCTACCGCATTGTACTGCAGCCTGAATTCCAGCAGCCCACTCAGCCCTGGTGCCTTGAAGCACGTGCACCCTGTAAACAGAGGGAAGATGGAATCAGGTGCTTAAATTGTGGGGGCTGGGTCACCTTGCCATCAAACCCATCCTTCTTCCCTTGTAAGATTGCAAACCTCAATCCTGCTCGGCTTGGGGAGCCGCCCCTCCCTTCTGCAAACATGATCTTCCGCTCAGCACCCTGTAGATCTATAGGCCAGTGGGTGTTTTACAGGGTCACCTACCCCTGCTGTCCCATAGCTACTGCTGCTGTACTGTCAGCGGGAGAGCTGAAGTGTTGGTAGACCCCCACACAGAAGAGCCACACTGCCGGTAGGGTTGCCAGATGGTTTAACCAAAAATACTCTACCCTCCCCACCCCCCCAAAAAAAACACCAGGGAAAAAATTCTGCTGAGAACAAAAAGGGGGAGACCAAACTTTTGAACCAAAAGAAACAAACAAAAAAAGAACCCAGCATGGCCCAGCATGAGGATTTTTGGCCCTAACAGGCTGCTAGCGGCCGTCCACCATCTTATCTTCCTGCTCCAGGCCAGATAGCTCCCCTGCAGAACCAGGTGAGCACCCAGGATTTTCACCTCCTGGCAGGGAAAAAGTCAGAAAATACCAGACATTTTAGGTGAACGGTATTTTCTGAATTTTTTTACTGGCGAGGAGGCGAAAATACCGGACGGTCTGGGTCAATCCTGGACACCTGGCAACCCTAACGGTCAGCAGCAGCAAATGTGTAGCAACAGTTTATGCACGAGTGCCGGCAGCCTGAGAGGGGCAGATCTTTTCTGGGACACCGATGCAGCATGCTAAACTCGAATGTTCACTGATGAACGCTTTGCTAGGAATATAATACTTTGGGGTCCTAAAGAAGCCGTAGCTGCCTTGCTCGAACACTTACCATTCTCCCTGCTGGTTTTCTTGGTCCTTTTTAAAGGAACTCCTCCGAGCGTAGCTACCTAGAGTGGTGAGAACACCGGCACTGCTATCCCTCAGGGAGTGTTTTGGACATTCCTCTGAGCTTCTGTGGCGTTTTCTCCAGCTTCTCCTGGGGCAATCAGTGGAGCCACGCGGATGGAAAGCCATGGAAGGAGCTCATGAAATCCTGTCCCCGCTTCTCTCTTGCAGACATTACTGGCCCCATCATCCTGCAGACATACCGAGCCATTGCTGACTATGAGAAGAACTCTGGCTCCGAGATGGCTCTGAAAACCGGGGACCTGGTGGACGTGGTGGAGAAGAGCGAAAGCGGTAAAGGCCGTTGCTCTGGGACGGGGCTGCAAAGTTCAGGGCTGAGCAGAGCCGCTGTCTTGTGGCCCGGTGCAGAGACAGGGCCCAGCGCTAGCTCTTCAGAGCCCCTTTCGCAGACGGAGCTTGGCCCAGTGGGTTGGGGAAAGGCCTGAACACAGATGGTCCATTCCTGGCTCTGCCACTGACTCATCCTGTGACCTGAGACAGTGCCTGGATGCTCCCAGCAGAGACCCGCCCTGTGGGGAGGCAACGTGCCTGTCCAGTTGCTTAGGGCAGCTGGGATGGAGCGATCCCTAGGAGCCCTCTCTTCCCAGGGTCGGCTGGAACCCACACCCTCCTGCACCCCGACCCTCTGCCTCAGCCCGAGCTCTTCCCCCACTCAGAATCCCTTAGCCCCAACCCCGCCACATCCGTTTTGTCATGTGCACAAATAGGAGGGTGATGTGTCGCGCATTACCACCAGATTGGTGCATCTAACAAAATTCATTCCGCTCAGGGGGTAGGAAGAATTAGAGGGAACACTGCCTGCCTCCCGCCAGAGGTGCAGCTGAGCTAGTGAATGCATGTGTGGTGCTTTAGACCCACAACGGACTATGTGTGTGGACGGGAAGCTGTCTAGGGAAGGGACTGCTCGCTGCTCTGTGTTTGTACAACACGGAACTTGGGGGCGGGGAGCTGGCAGTCCAGGGCTGGGGTTCCTGGCTGCTACTGCTGCACTTCATGATGACCTGCTGATTATCTCTCTGTGAGCATCTGTATCTTGAAATGTTTTAATTCCGTGCCCTAAGTGTGGGAGCTGAGAGCATTTATATGTACAGACAGCAAGCACTCTGGGATCACAGCCATGCCCCTAGCGAGGGAAACACGGAGAAAAACACCATGTGCAGTCACATGATGGGGGACTTCTCTTGGTGAGGCTGTGATGCAATCCTCGAAAGCCCTTGAGTTTCTCCCATGACTGGTTGGGTGGGACTGGCACTCAACCAGGAAATAACATTCTAACTTTAGGATCCGCATGGTAACAAAACAAAAGTTGACTTCCCCTCCCCTGTTCTCATGGTGATTGACACAGAGAACCACTTCTATACCGTGACTTACAGGATCTATGAGGGAAACACTGATTGCTTCATGTCCTACACCCGTCAGGTCACTATGATTGCTTCACAGGCACATATATGACTGAGTTGTACATACGCAGTCACCTCTTTACCCCAGTGGGCCTTGCCACAGCCCTTCCCAGTCCACCTTCCATTCCTTTTCATCCCATTGCTTTCGCATAGAGACTGGGCCCCCAGCCAATTAAAAGATACGGAGTTTGGGTTTTGTAAGTTGCCTTCAAGGGTAGACAAGGCCTTAGGGAATCTAATCGAATCTGCTAGCCTTGGAAGCCATAGTCAGTTCCAGCTATGCTGTTCTTGCTTCATTGGTAGGAGAGGCATAACCGTACCCTCTGAAGACAAATATCAAGATAGCTTGTCTTATAGTTCTGTGACATAGTGGTCCCACAGTTAAAGAACAGAGCGAAGAGATCTGAGTCTCCACACTGCTGGTGACTGTGTGACATCATAGAAGTCCTTTAGTGTCTCTCTTCCCACGGGGTTAATGACTGCTCCCTTCACCCCAGGCCTGGGGGGAGAGTTTATTTTGAGGTGCACCTTACAGCGTACAAGGCACTGCAATGAATGGGGCTGACCCTTGTGGTGTTTGCTGCTGCTTTTGTTACAGGCTGGTGGTTCTGTCAGTTAAAGAATAAACGTGGCTGGGTCCCAGCTGCTTATCTGGAGCCTATGGATGGTCCTGATGAATCTGAAGACCAGGATCCTAACTATGCAGGTAAAACCGCAACCCCCCAGCAATATAGCCACATAGGATGTCTCCTCCAGGGTCCCGAGCAGGGTTTTGGAGTAACTGCAGAAGGAAATGCACTAAGATGTTCCATCTCTGATTTCACAATGAGCCCAGCCCGTAAGGGCTTTATTCCGGAGGATCGCGCCAGTCTGGACGCTCTTTTCCGGCTTTTCTCCAAGCCGGAAAAAAAGCGGTGGCCATTTTTATTTAAATCCCACGGGGGATATTTAAATCCCCCCCGCTGATTTCCCTATTCCAAAGTTAGAAATTAGCATGCCTCTTCCGAAGAAGGGGCCAGTCTAGACACAGCCCATCTGTGTGGAGTCCCAGGTCAGTTGTGAGGTACTTAACCAATGAGTATCATTGATCATGGTGCCACGGCACGGGAATTTATGCAGAATCACTATGGAGTCGGCTCTTGTTTAAAATGGGGATCCATTGTTGGGGTGTGGGCTGTGTCATTTTGGAGCGCTGGTCTGGATCACTGAGATGTTCTTCCTTGGGTGTTAACATCCAATAGATCCTTGAAACCTCCTTTGTTTCTATTGTGCTCAGGGGAACTCTATGTTGTCAGAAAAGGCTACTCTGGTGTTGAGGATGATGAGCTGACATTGAAAGAAGGCGACACCATAGAAGTTATCCATAAGCTCCTTGATGGCTGGTGGGTTGTCAGGTAAGAGCATGCGAGGATAAATTGGATTTGGCTCTTTGGGTCACTCAGGGGAAGGAACCGAAAGAGAACCTGAGATGAATTATAATTATAATGGGTGGTTCTTACAGATAAGGCCAGGAGCATCACTTGGTAAGGCTGATGAATGCTTCCCGTACCTCTAGTGATAGAAATGTAGCCGTGTTAGTCTGGGGTAGCTGAAGCAAAATGCAGGACAATGTAGCACTTTAAAGACTAACAAGATGGTTTATTAGATGATGAGCTTTCGTGGGCCAGACCCACTTCCTCAGATCAAATAGTGGAAGAAAATAGTCACAACCATATATACCAAAGGATACAATTAAAAAAATGAACAAATATGAAAAGGACAAATCACATTGCAGAACAGAAGGGGAATGCGGGGGGGTGGGAAGGGGGAGGAAGGAAGGTAAGTGTCTGTGAATTGATGATATTAGAGGTAGGGAGAGTGGGATGTTTGTGAGTTAATCCCCTCCTGTTCTGAAATGTGATTTGTCCTTTTCATATGTGTTCATTTTTTAAAATTGTATCCTTTGGTATATATGGTTGTGACTATTTTCTTCCACTATTTGATCTGAGGAAGTGGGTCTGGCCCATGAAAGCTCATCACCTAATAAACCATCTTGTTAGTCTTTAAAGTGCTGCGTAGTTCTGTATTTTGCTTCCCCTACCTCTGTTCTCAGTTGTTTATAACTTTGCCAGTCTTTAAACATTTGGGCTGAATTTTGCCAGGTGTCTGCTGCAGATGGATTTTTTTGGGAAGAGGGCGGGAAAGAAATTTCACGCCAAACATTCAGTTGTTCCCAAGAACAAAGCTGGGGGAAAATAATACAGGAAGTCCCCGACTCAAGAACAGGTTGTTTTCCAAAAGTTCGTTTGAGATTTGGTTGCTTGGAACTCGGAACGCATTTCCCCATAGAAACAACGTTCTCAACGAAACTTAGGTTCGCAGACTAGCCCACAAAAGCCTATTTAACCCACAATGTGAGTAAAACAGTGCGTATGTGCAATGAAAAATAATGGAAATATTTTATTTAACTTTGAATGCTGGGGCTTGAGGTTTAATTAGAAGAAGATGAGGGGGTAGGTGGAGATTCTGAAGGGACTTTTGGGCATCCCCTGGTCGCCATCTCCTCCCCACCCCCGCGGGCTCTGCGCCGGCTCCTGTGGCCAGCCTCACCCCCACCCCCTGGCATGCACCCAGCCCCCACTCACCAGAAGGTGGCGAGTGGCACGAGAGCAGGCCGGAGGACTCTGGAGGAGCCGGAGGTGGCTGTACAGCTAGAAGCCAGAGAGAAGCTTTCGTGCCTTCGCTTTGGACCTTGAGACGTGTGTCACCTTTGTCTCAGGGATGTGCCTTTTGCCGTCCCAGTGACCCCCTGGGCCAGCAGTCGGCACTTGCTCAGTGGAGACTTGCTCCAGCCTGGCGAAAACCCCTGAAGATTCTGTTCACATGGAGCCTGTTCCAGCCTCCATCCCCTGACACTGCAGCTCTGCTCTGGGTTGTGCAGGGGCCAGACCCAGGGATGAGAAGCAGGGGGGCTGTCTCGGCTACACTCAGTAACCCTGCAGCTGGTGCCACATAGCAAGGAAGAGGAAGTTGCCTGACTTGACAGCAGAGGGGAAAAGAGCGTGGGGAGTGGGGTCAGGGCTGGACGGAGGCATGGGTGAGCCGGGCAGCTGCCCAGGGCTCCAACTGATGGGGGGTGCCTGATGGCAGCTGTAAGGGGTGCGCGGTGTCCCTTACAGCTGCCATCAGGCAGGCTCCCCCCGCGCCCGGCTAGCAATGACCTTCCCCCCACAGTCGCGGGGCCCTACACGGCCTGGCGTGCGCGCCAACAGTGATGGCTGGGTCGGACTGGGCCGTACTTGCACCCTGCACCCCGGGGGTGGGCTCCGGGCTGCACGCCAGTGGCTGTAGCCGGGCTGCGCATGCGCCATGCACCCTGGTGGCGGGCCTGTGCACCCTAGGGGCGCGGGCCTGCTCCCCACAGGCGGGCCTGCGCCCATGCCCGGGGCACCAGAATGCCTCGAGCGGGCCCTGAGTGGGGTTGCAGGAGCATGGCGATCGCACTCCGGGGCTGGCAAAGTGCAGTTCAGAGGCTGGATCCTGTCAGCTGTCACCACCACTAGAACGCTCCCACCCTGGAACTGCTGAACTGCCAGGAGGTTAGATTCATAGATGCCGAGGCCCAAAAGGACCAGTCTGACCAGGAACTTCCCCCAAATCATTCCTTGAGCAGATCTGTTAGAAAAACATCCCATCTCAATTGAAAACATCATCTCTGAGGGTGACTCCTCCATGATGCTTGGTAAAAGGGTCCTCGGATTTGGACAGCCAGGCTGTTGTTTTGACAAAGCTGCTGTATGTGTAAGTGGTGTTGTTTTGCACCCCAGGAAGGAAGAAATCACCGGGTACTACCCCTCCATGTATCTGCAGAAATCTGGGGAAGAGAATAACCCTGTGAAGAATGATCTGAGAAACAGAGGCGCTCCTCCTCGAAGGTAGGGAAGGCAAATCGGGTCTGGTTGCCCCATGTTTTGGGACAGTGTGATGAAGTGAACTAGACTGTGGCTGGGGATACCTAGAGCTTGTCCTAGAGATGAGGAACCTAAGTGCTAAGTGAGTAGGGTGGGGGAAGAGAGTTGCTACAGGGCTTCCTTCTGAAAAGAAAGACTTTGGCCTAAGAACGTTACAAGAACATAAGAACGGCCAGACTGGATCAGGCCAAAGACCCATCCAGTCCAGTGTCCTGTCTGCTGACAGTGGCCAATGCCAGGTGCCCTAGAGGGAGTGAACTGAACAGGTCATGATCAAGCCATCTCTCTCCTGCCATCCATCTCCAGTCTCTGACAAACAGAGGCAAGGGACACCATTCCTTACCCACACTGGCTAATAGCCATTAATGGACTTAACCTCCATGAATTTATCTAGTTCTCTTTTAAACCCTGTTATAGTCCTAGTCTTCACAACCTCCTCAGGCAAGGAGTTCCACAGGTTGACTGTGCCCTGTGTGAAGAAGAACTTCCTTTTATTTGTTTTAAACCTGCTCCTCATTAATTTCACACCATTTGGAACTGAACTTGTAAGGTACCTGTGTAACCCACACACCTAGCAGGTGTTTTTCACTGTCCCATGTAGTGAACCTTAGACCACTTACAGTGAGAACTAAGAACAAGGGAGCTGTATAGTTTGAACTGAGAGTCAGCTGGCTTCATTGCTCAAGCTCAAGCTACAGAGGCTCCTTATACCAAGCTCCAGAGGTCGCAGGTTCAAATTTGCCCAGTGGTGATTACAAGCATGGCAAGTGCTGAGCTGAACTGTCTGCATCATCCCAAAGCAGGTTTCCTACATCATCTCCCCAGTCCAGCTTGTGGTCTGACCGGGAGCTGGTGCAGGTTGGCCTGCCTCCATTGATTTCCATGCAGATGTGTTGATTTACACCATCTGAGAAGCTGGACTCTCACTCTTCCACTGCTGTGAACACTGCAGTAAATATCTAATCAAGCTGATATCTATAGGGCACCAGTCATGGGACCATGCATTTGTCACTAGAGAGAGAGAGATGAACTATAAAAAGCAATGAGGGTGGGTTCAGTCAGGGTAAGCACCCAAAATCTCTGCTGTTCTTTTGCATTAGCCGAGCAAAATAGTCTGTGTAAGGTCCTTATATATCCCATTGTGAAGAAAATTGCTTCCACTTAGGGCAGCTATGAAACAGGCGCCTCTAATTTCACAGATGTGAAATGTGTTGAAATGTTAGGCGTGAACGGGAGGCAGCGTAATAGAGCGCGATGCCGCTGATTCGTAGGTAAATGGTGTGAACCCGGTGTGAAACAATAGCGGTGGTAGGGAATAGGAACCATCTGCTTGTAACTGTTCCAGGCACCAGACCTGAAAATGTGTTGGTCTTAGTTTAGATCCTAGAAGAGGGGCTTGGTCTCTCCTGCTCAGAACTCTCCAGGGCAGCAGGCTGTCTTACTTCTACTGAGACTCTAACCCCCTGCCGTCCTCCTTCCCACGGGCCTTTGTGTTAATTTTCACTTTGCCCAGTACTTGTGTATGACAGGTGTAGCTTGGGAAACAACGTGTTGAATCTATGCTCACTGATCTGATCTGGATCCTAGAAGAGGGGCTTGGTCTCTCCTGCTCAGAACTCTCCAGGGCAGCAGGCTGTCTTACTTCTACTGAGACTCTAACCCCCTGCCGTCCTCCTTCCCACGGGCCTTTGTGTTAATTTTCACTTTGCCCAGTACTTGTGTATGACAGGTGTAGCTTGGGAAACAACGTGTTGAATCTATGCTCACTGATCTGATCTGCATGCGGGCCCGGTTCCGATCCAGATGTGCAAACACGCACGCACGCATGCACGCACACAAAGTGACATGTTACAGTAGCCAGTGAATGTCCTGCCTCGGAATTACAATGGCACTATACCAGAAACAATGGATCTAAATAGGCATATGTAAGCAGTGTGGCCTAATGGGTGGAGCTTGGATGGATGGGCACTACCAATCACCTGCTATGTGACTTAGGGATGTAACTGATGCTCACCTTCCTCTGCAAGGTACTTTGAGGTCGATTGGAAGAACTAATTAAGTATTGCTCTTTACTGTAATTAAAGTCTCACTTTGCGCTTTTAAAAAACATTCATGGATAACAGTTAGATGCTGCCTGACTAATGTTTTATGCAACAAATCACAGAAGGTTGCTCACAGCTACTGACGTTAACTCACAGTCATTTTGCCTGGTATAACCCAAAGCAATCATGGCTAAATCCACTGCTTGGGCTAGGCTAAATCCACTGCCCTCCCTAGGATGAGGCTGTGCCAAACCTACAAAAGGGGAGAGTTCCCCCAGTGGGGACCGTATGGTACGAAAGCATAGAGAGTTAAAATGGCAAAAGCTGGAAGATTTTTCTCTTTCTCTATGCAGGTCGACCATCCGAAATGTCAAGAGCATCCACAACCAAAGCCGGAAGCAGATCAGCCAGGAGACGTATAGACGGAACAGCGTGAAGTATATGAAGAGGAAAACCAAGGGCAATCTCCAGAACAAGTCCAACGTGATCAGTAAGTTCCAGCCTGGCGTGCCCATTAGATAGAACGCCTGTGTCATGAACAGCGGGGGGGAGGATGTTTGTACTCAAGGAGACCATCAGGGCTGGTGGACGTCACTCTTCCTCCTAGGCTATGTCTAGACTGCAAGCCTCTTTCGAAAGAGAGCGTCTAGACTGCACGTTGAACTTTCGGCTTGCTTTTTCGAAAGAAAGCATCCAGTGAGTCTGGATGCTCTCTTTCGAAGAAGCCCTATTTACATTGAAGAACGCCTTCTTTCGAAAGAGGAACTTTCGAAAGAAGGCGTTCTTCTTCGTGAAATGAGGTTTACTGCCATTGAAAGAAAAGCCGCGTTCTTTCGATTTAATTTCGAAAGAACGCGGCTTGAGTCTGGACGCAGGTGAGGTTTTTTCGAAAAAACCCCTGAGTCTGGACACAGCCCTAGTCTACCTTCCACAAGGCAAGTCCTCTTGCCTTTCTGAGGTTGCTTAGTGGCGTTAGTGGCAGAGGGAGAATTCATACCCCAAAGCTAATGAAGGCCACTCGGTTCAATTCTGAGCTACCGACAGCACTTCTACAGCCATGTCAGGCAGCCAGGACAATCCAGACAGTAAGGAATGGTCAAGAATAAGATTTTCAAGGTACTGAGGACGGGAACCTCCTATGGCCTTCACTGATGGTCATGGGTACTCAGCACTGACACGAATGAGACTATGCAGGAGTTGGGTTGATTCTATTTGCAATAGCGCAAGCCGAGGGGTCTAGAGAAATTATCTTTGTTGTGAAATGGCCTGATAAAGCTGATGGTGGTTACAGTCACTCGTAATCCTGACATAGCAGTCTTCTACGGGCCGTAAATGGGGAAGTGGGTTTCATACGAAGCATTACAACAGTAAAAGGGAGAGGCCACTGAAGCAAAGAAGACAGAATGAGTATGAGAGATGTGTAGGTTCATTTCTGGAATAGCTGGGTATGGAAAGTATGAGAAATCATGGAGGTGGAATTAAGGCAGGTCCTAGAAGGGCAGGGACCAACCACCCAAAGGCTGAAATGAGTGGTTTCTGATTTCTAAAAGATCTGAAATGCCTGCAGATAATGGGGGGTAAGGTATTGAAAGCCAGCTGATACATTTGTGACATTCCTAGTGAATGGAAAACTACACAGCCAACTACCTAGCACATTGAGTTAGCCAGAGAAAGACTCACACCCACTCTGGATCCAGACTTCACAGGCCTAGCCTAGAAAGGGTCACCAGGGTATCTAATCTGACCTCTCTTCCACAGGCCACCTGCATACAATACACAACAACCAAAATTAAACCAAAGTGTGACAGCCTTCAAGAGACTAGCTTATTGATGTGCCACAGAGAAAGATCAGGAGGGACCCAGGTATACTGGTGCCTGAGCCCCCTATAATGGCAGGGAACTGACTGATAAGCCCAGCAAGCACCCCGTATCCCCATGCTGTAGAGGAAGGGGAATCCCCACAAGGTCATTGCCAATTTGACCTGGGGAAATTCCTTCCCGAACCCACATCCAGCGATCAGCTAGACTCTGGAGCAAGAAGCCTCCAGCTAAGTGCCTGAGACACAATTTGAGCCAAACTCTGCCACTGGCTTCTTTGCCTGCAATTCTGCAAATCAGAAAGTGGGATTGGAGTCAAAAGTTGTAACATCAACCCCTTGATTAGTCTAGGGCCTGATCCGCGTGAGAGCTATGTTTAGCAAAGAGCATCCCTGTTCAGCAAAATGCATAAACATGAGTCTGACTCTGAACATTTGCTTCATTCCCACAGAACTTGATAGCAGGGGTTTAAACTTAAGTACTTGCTTAGTGCTTTGACTCGGGGACTAATTGAGGGTGCTCAGCACCTCCCAAGTTGCACTGCTCCCCTCAAATGATTGGGCCCATTTTATTTAACAGACTATCATATAAGTGGGTGACATTTTCTGGCCTGACTCATAGAGAAGGTAAGACTAGATGGTCTAAAAGTCCCTTCTGGCCTGGAAAATCCAAGAATAAAGCAAACCCCAGAGAAATGTAGAGAGAAGAAAGGGAAAAATATGCTCTCAGTGGGAATTTTTTGAATGTTTAGAATGAGAGAGCAAATGACTTTAAGGAAGTTGGTAGTAACGAATCCCTCCCAGATTCTCAACCTATTTCTTCAGCTCCCGTCTTCTCTTTAGAAGAAGCCAATTTAGTACTTTATCCAACATTAATGGCATAAGAATAGAACACTTATTCTAGGATCAAAATTCAGTGAAAATAGGATACCTAATTCCCTTGGCCTCCTCGAACTGTGCCAGGGACATGGAACTTTCCCATATTTTTATGTCCTCTCATTTGTAGGAGAGAAAAATGAAATGGAAGAAACCAAATCCAAGGCCCAGCCGGCCATTCCACCACGACCCAGTAAGGACCTGATCATGAATCGGTGTACAGAGAGCACAAAGAACAAGATCAAATGATGCCACGGGAAGAAGAAGAAAAAAAAGCTGATGCTTATTCTCTGCCAGGACTCTATAGCCAGACTGGACAGTCCTGGTGAATTATGGCACATCAAAAAGTGCAGCTGCCCTCCTGGAGTTTCTCAGAGATACCTTGAATTAGAGTCCTCACCATCCATCTCTCGATAAATCTGAATTGTTCTAAACTTGAGGACAGAATTTGGCAAGATAATCTCAGTAAATGATCACTTTTTTTTTTAAGTTTACCATGAATCGCTACACATAATACGATTGATCAAGGCACTGATCGGGTGAGATGTTGAGTGAACTCCTCCACCATTGACTTGTTTCACAGTAGAGGAAGGTGCTCAGCATTTCATTGCATCGAGCTGTAAGAGAGATTCTTAATGGAGTCCTTTCCTGCCATTTATACTTTGCAAACCATATCATCAAGGTGCACTGATTAGCTTGCTTTGTAATATAGCCATTTTGGGTGATTCTTGTTGTAGGAGACTCACATGTACTGTTAATACATATATCACTTTTTATTCTGTACAGTGTTTTACTAGCTAAATATGTCTGTGGTTTGAAAAGTTACTATATGTGGGTAATACTTTCATGTTGGCTAAATGAAGGATTATAAACAAGTCAGAAAAATGAGCTACTGAATTGCAGTCTCTCTCCTTCCGCCAAGATGTACTGCATCCTCAACAAAAGATGTGTTGCCTATTGCAAGAGCTGTTAAAGAAAGCTGCTGAAGAAATCCTGACAAACAGTTCCCAGCACATAGTGACTATTGCACAGAATGTTTATCAAGGGCTTCTTGCAAAAGATGTTAATGTCAAAGAGGAAATCCACTCTGGCAATCTAGGGTAGTAATCTATGATTGCAAGTGTAACTGATAATTTTTGGGAAGTGTCCAATGGCTGTTGTCCTTTAATAACATTTGGCTCACGTCTGCCTTCTAGTGGGAGACCAGAAAGGAGAAGAGACTATTTCTTATTTTATCAAATGTTTAAAACAGTCAGTGAACCCCCCGAAAAGCACCAGATTGCTTTAAAATCATGAGATTTTAATGAAACAAAGTTGAGATTTTTTTAGTTTGCCTTTTACTTTTTGAGGCCTTGATTTTTTTTAAAGCTTTTCTATGCAGCCATGAACCCTAAAAACTTACTCGGCCGTTTTAAATGGAAGTGGAGATTCTCATTCAATCATATGATTTGAGGAGCTGGAGATTTGAGAAAAACACCAAATATTGAGACTTATGAGAAATTGGTGCAAGTTGGCAAAACTACATTCTAGCATTTACATTAAGGGTTGGGGAAGTTAATGTGATAGATTTGGTTTATGCATATAACAAAAAGACAGTGCCTGCGCTGCTGAGCTTACAGTGTAAGTATGTAGATCCTTTTCTCCCCGGGTTATGTGTGGCTGACAGCGAGTCAATAGGAACTTTCCAAGTACAGGTTGAACCTCTCTAATCCAGAAGTCTCTCCTTCAGAAACATCCGTCATCCAGAATGATTTTAGTTAGCTAGATGTCCGCTTTTCAGGGACGTGGCCAAGTTTCCTGTGGTTCCATAAAGTTTGTTTACACCAGTCCTAGCCCTCAGTGTTCTGTGCTGTTATTTACCTCTAATTTACCCCTAAATGTCTTCTAACGGCACAGTAAGCAGTGGAAGTGTAGGTACTGCTGCTAGACAATATTGACCTCCCACGGTCCAGAAAATTCTCTTGTTCGGAACCTGTATTTTCAGTCTGAATTCAGTGGTTTTTTGTCTTCCGCATCTTCTTCTGAGCTGCCCTGGCATCACCCTGCTGGGCAAAGAGAGATGGGACTGAACAGGACAAGGGGAAAGCGCGGGGGCGAGGGAGCGTCTGGGGAGCAGGACAGCCGCAGATGCAGTTACGCCACAGCCACTGTACGTGGCAATTAAGCAAAGAGCCGTAGGCTGGAGAGGGGAGAAGATGGGATGTGGGGCGTAGGGTTATTAGGTAGACCCCCCCAAAAAATACTGCACACACTTGATCATGGGCGGGGGAGGGAGGGAAGCCCTGGCCGGGTTGATTTAGTTGGAATTGGTCCTGCCTACAGCAGGGGGCTGGACTTGATGACCTTCTGAGGTCTCTTCCAGTTCTATGATTCTATG